TCATTTGCCAATCATCATTTCAATAAAGTGTGGCCCTCACTCTGCAGAACCATCTCGGGTTCCATTTGATCTTACAAGGAACATCGACTGGCAGAAATATGCAACGGCGGTGACAATCGGTGTCGAATCAATAGATGCGCTTCCACCATTGGAAGAATATCGATTCCTAGCCGATTTGATTTACAAAAGCTCACTGGAAGCACAAAAAAGAAAAGTTCCAAGTGCACCCTTTAAAAGGAGACCAGCCACACCTGGTTGGGACGAAGAATGCACAAAATTGTATGTAGAAAAATCTGATGCTTTCAAAGCTTTTCGTAGACACAAAACCTCCACTTACTTCGAGGAATATTCAAAGCTTGAGACAAAGCTGAAACAATTAATCAAAACAAAAAAACGCGTTATTGGCGCAATTTCGTCGAGGGACTCTCACGAGAAACCTCAATGAACACCTTGTGGAGGGTGGCTCGCAACATGCGTAACCGCTCATCTTTCAATGAGAGTGAAGAATACTCCAACCGATGGATATTCAATTTCGCTAAAAAGGTCTGTCCGGACTCAGTTCCAGCACAAAATATTCTTCGAGAAGCGTCTCCTAGCGGCGGCTCTCTGGATAGACCCCAAGTAACCAAAAGTTCCGCATTCAACGATTAAAATCACTTTCAAGTTCCTTTAAGTTCAAATAAAGTTCCGACCGAACCTTCAAGTTCCATACAGTTCAAATAAAGTTCCGACAGAACTTTCAAGTTCCATAAAGTTCAAATAAAGTTCCGACAGAACTTTCAAGTTCCATAAAGTTCAAATAAAGTTCCGACAGAACTTTCAAGTTCCATAAAGTTCAAATAAAGTTCTGACAGAACTTTCAAGTTCCATAAAGTTCAAATAAAGTTCCGACAGAACTTTCAAGTTCCATAAAGTTCAAATAAAGTTCCGACAGAACTTTCAAGTTCCATAAAGTTCAAATAAAGTTCCGACAGAACTTTCAAGCCACATGAAGCAATCCGCACAAGTCTTTATTAGTAACAAAATTTAATGTACGTAAATATTAAATGATCAGTGGCCCGAATAAATCATAATTCTTAAACATAAACATAACATAAAAAAAATAATTAAAAAGTAATTTCCTGGATTCGAACCCGTGTATTCGGGCATGCGATCTACTAACGCTCACCACTGCGCCACAAATGTGTTGGAGTACCATGCGGGCAAATACCATTTTGAAATTCATCAAGGTGTTGTGTTTCGTATTCAAGTCAGTCACCTGGCACTGAAAACTCCAACAGTAGGCGGGACAACAACTCACTTTAATATAGTTCAGATGACGCAGCGGCTCGTGCTGGGGCTCTCACGCAGAAGGACTGGGTTTAATTCTTAAACAGCTCCAATTCTACTACTAATACTGATAAATCAATACACATTTAATATACCTGCCTTTAGAAATAACTTTCATAAAAGTGCGAACTTAAAAATAGAATTTTGGTGTAGAGGAAAAAAACCTTTTTTAATTTATTTTCTAAAAGTTCCGTTCAAGTTCCGCCAGAAGCTGCTTAGAATGCTCTTCAATTATGATACCGGAACTTTCAAGTTCTTATAACGACTTAAAAATGAGGCTGCTTAGAATTCTAAAGACCATCACCAACTAAGCTGCTTAAGCCACAAATGGCCTTTTATCAGAACTTTTGGTTACTTGGGACCATTCTCAATGCTGGATTTCTCTATGGCTCTTCTTTCATCGAACAACTCCTCACCGGGAAGCGATGTGATTAAATTCAATCTTCTGAAAAATCTCCCAGATATCGCTAAAAGACGCTTGCTAGACTTATTTAATTCCTTACTAGAAAACAACATTATACCGCCTGAATGGAGACAGGTCAAAGTAATAGCCATTCGAAAACCTGGCAAACCAGCGCCTGACCATAACTCATACCGTCCGATTCTCATGCTTTCGTGCATTAGGAAATTGTTGGAGAAAACGATCCTTCGGAGACTCGATCAGTGGGTCGAAACAAATAATTTGCTATCAAATACACAGTTTGGGTTCCGCAAGAGCAAAGGAACAAACGATTGTCTAGCGCTGCTTTCCACAGATATTCAACTGGCCTTTGCGCACAAGGAGCAATTGGCTTCAGTATTCTTGGACATTAAGGGGGCTTTTGATTCAGTTTCCATTGAAATTCTGTCAGACAATCTGCACAGATGTGGACTTTCCGGAATTTTAAATAATTTCTTGTACAATTTGTTGTCAGAAAAGCAAATGAACTTTTCCCTTGGACAACTGACAACTTCCAGAATTAGTTACATGGGCCTGCCCCAAGGCTTATGTCTCAGCCCTCTTCTTTATAATTTTTACGTCAAAGATATCGACAACTGTTTGGCAGAACAATGCACGCTAAGACAACTTGCAGATGACGGTGTGGTTTCCGTAAGAGGTCCACATGCCGTGGACTTGCAAGGACCATTGCAAAGTTCCTTAGATAACTTGTCTTCTTGGGCTATGAATCTAGGGATCGAATTCTCGCCGCAGAAAACTGAACTGGTAGTGTTTACTCGAAAGCGGTACCCAGCCCAAATGCATCTTAATCTTTTGGGCAGAAACATTACTCAATCATTGTCTTTCAAGTACCTTGGGGTCTGGTTTGATTCAAAGTGCACTTGGAATGCCCATATTACGTATTTGAAGCAAAAATGTCAGCAGAGGATCAACTTTCTCCGTTCAATTTGCGGCACATGGTGGGGTGCTCATCCGGGAGACCTCATAACGCTTTATAAAACAACAATTCTCTCTGTTCTAGAGTACGGCTCTTTCTGCTTTCTCTCGGCAAGAAAAAGTCACCTAATAAAATTGGAACGAATTCAATATCGTTGTCTGCGTATTGCTCTAGGCTGTATGCACTCAACGCATAACATGAGTCTCGAGGTTCTGGCAGGAGTAATACCCCTCCAGAACCGTTTCTGGGAGATCTCTCTCAGAATACTAATCAAATGCGGAGTGACGAACACACTTATAATTGCTAATTTTGAAGAAATTCTTGGGCTGAACACACAATCTCGATTTATGAGAATCTACCACCACTACATATCATCAGATATGTGTCTTCCTTGTTATACTCCAGACCGTGTTCACTTCACCAATCGCAGTTCCTCAATTGAATATGATCTGACCATGAAACAAGCAACTCATGCGATTCCCGATCAACTTCGACCTATTATTATTCCGCGTATTTTTACTGAAAAGTACCAACAAGTCAATTGCATGAAAAGATATTTTACAGACGGGTCCCGTCTCAATGGATCCACTGGCTTCGGTGTCTTCAATGAAAACTCTAGCGCCTTCCGCAAACTTCAGGAACCTTGTTCCGTTTTTGTTGCTGAGCTGGCAGCAATCAACTTCACATTGGGGATGATTTCCAACATGCCCGCAGACCATTACTTCATCTTCACGGATAGTCTCAGTTCGATTGAGGCTATTCGGTCGATGAAACAAGGTAGGCACTCATCTTATTTCCTTTCAAAGGTAAGGGAGCAGATGTGTGTGCTGGTCGAAAGATCATATATGATTACCTTTGTATGGGTCCCCTCACATTGCTCAATCCCAGGCAATGAGAAGGCGGACTCTCTCGCAAAGGTGGGCGCGCAGGAAGGACAGGCAAATTTCACACGATGAATTTTACCATTTAGTGCGTCAGAGTACCTTTTCGAGTTGGCAAACCGATTGGGACACTGGAAATCTTGGAAAGTGGTTACATTCAATTATTCCTAATGTTTCTTCGAGAGCGTGGTTTAAAGGCTTGGGCTTAAGTCGTGACTTCATTCGCGTGATGAGTAGACTTATGTCCAACCACTACTCGCTAGATGCTCATCTCAATAGAATAAACCTCGTGGACAGCAACATCTGTCGGTGTGGAAACGGTTACGATGACATCGAACACGCAGTTTGGCAATGTACGGATAATGACGCCGCCAGAGAGCGACTTTTGAATACCCTCGAGGCCCAAGGAAGACAACCCTATGTTCCTATCAGAGACGTGTTGGCAACCCGTGATCTCTGCTATATGCAGTCCGTTTATGTTTTTCTTCAAATGTCTAGTATAAGAATTTAATTCCTTTTGTCTTTTGTCTCTCTTTATTAGTTTTTGTTTGTCTTGTCCCCCCGTCTCGATGAGTCTCATCGTCGCCCACTGGTCACCCACCATAGCCGGTCGAACTCCGGACGAAGCTAGAACAGCACTACCGTTCATACTGGCGACAACGCTCTGATGAGACAACGAAACCCTACCCCAAGCTCCTCCCCTGATCCTATCCTTCGAAAATGTACCCTTCTAACCTCGAGTAAGCCGCGAGTAATCGGCCCAACTCCTACTAGACATAGAATTAAGTGAATTTTGTTACACACAGTGAACAATGAATTATCGGCTCCGTAAAGCTAACGCGATTGAGCCTTCCAAATAAACGAACTAGATAAAAAAAAAAAAACCACGTGACGGTGGACAATTCGCTTGGGCAGGCCATCAAGAATACTGCTGTAACACAGCACTCGGATCGGCCCAGTTTGATGAATGCGATGAAGATTTGATCCACGGAGAGTAAAGCAAATATTACACTTTGGCTATATGTTTTAGTATTACTTCTGCGTGAAGTCAACGATTTACATAGCTGAAGATGCTAATTTCAAATAACAGACTGTAGTGGTAATTTTTATACGATAGATGGAGTAGATGAAAACATAGAGTTGATAGTTCCGTTAGAGTACGGCAGTGTGAAAATTGCATATAGATATTAAAATAGCGAGCTAGGACAACTTTTAAGGAAGGTACAAATCGGTTTGGTAACGAGAGATGAAAAAACCGATTTGTACCTCCCTTAAAAGTTGTCCTAGCTCGCTATAATAATATCTATATGCAATTTTCACACTGCTATACTCTAACGGAACTATCAACTCTATGCTTTCATCTACTCCATCTATCGTATAAAAATTACCACTACAGTCTGTTATTTGAAATTAGAATCTTCAACATTACACGCTGGTGAGGCACATCGGGAAGGACACGTACGGGAATGTGAAGCTGAGCTACTGGAACTCGGATAGGTTGCTGATGATATCAAAGCTCATACTGAAGGAGAAGCTCGTGCCGCAGTTTGTGATTAAGACCGATGAGAAGCGGAAAATTCCGATGGAAGTGTACCTGTTGACGCGCGTAAAGCATCCGAACATTGTCAACATAATTGACAACAAATTCTTCCAGGTTGTGATCGAAATCCACGACTCCGGGATGGATCTGTTCAAGTTTATCGATCGAACACCCGTGATGACGGAGAAGCTGGGTTGTTGGATCTTTCGACAGATTTCAAATGCGGTTGCTTTTCTAAACATTTTGCACCGGGACATCAAAGACGAGAAAGTTATCATCGATCACGATTTCCATATCAAGCTGATTGACTTCGGATCGCCATCGTTCGTACAGGAAGGGCATTTTTTCTACCTTCTATGGCACGACCGAGTACTGCAGTCCGGAAGTGTTGGCATGCAACCGCTACTCAGACCCGGAACTGGAAATGTGGGTTCTCGGTGTGATACTGTACGTGTTGATGTTCTTCGAGAACCCATTCTTGGGCGTTGAGAAAATCCTACAATCAGGAACTACTGGAGACGGAATGGATGACGCAGGAAATCAATTCGTCACAGTTAAATTTTGCCAATATCCCCTGTGAACCGTACGAAACCAATCCGTAGAAGTGCTACGTAGATGCGAATATCTGCTGCAGCCAGACGGGACTGTCCACGTCACCCTTCGATGGTGAAGATGACGATGAGCATGTTCACATGGATGATTCGTTCACGCATCCTGCCGAGATGCTGGACGATGATATTTGTCATCTGTCGCAAGATGATGAGATTGGTCTAGATGACGATATAGATAAAACGATCTGAAGGGACACTTCAGCACAATCCGTCCAGTAGCAGCAGTTGGGTTATTGACGCCGCCATTCCATACAATTCGCCGAGCACAAGTAACCGCCAGATGCGCTGCTCTGGTTGCAGACCGTGGCAGTTAGGATGAGTTGGAGGTTTCGGCGAAATTATGTTTTGCGGATACCAAAAATTGTTTGAGTCAACAATCAAATGTTGACACATCCGCACTACACAGGCGCAGAATTAGTGCAGTGATGCCAGTTACTTTAGAAATCATAAAAATTATGTACCATGGGTGCCAATGAGGGTGCCATGATGTGCCCTACTGTGTTTTTGGCACACTGTGCTGGGTGACCAACCCCTTGGGTTTAGTCCAAGGGGTAATCAAATCTGCACATCGTGGCACACTGATCGGTGGGTCATGACACACGATGACAAGTATGACACAAAGTATAATATAAAATGACATCACTGTTTTGTGTTGACATTTTGCCAATTGTTGTCAAGGTTTACTTCTTCAATCACTTCAAAGCAAGGGGCAAAGGTATTTTTTGTCAGTGCCATTTTCCAGCGAAATTGTCCCCAATCATAATAAGAGATTGCATAATTAACGAGACTCTCTATGTCCTTATGCCTTCAGGGGGATGAACCTCTACAGAAAGTCCACACGGCTTTTGAGAGATATCTATGCATAGTTTCAGGGAAGTCCAAATGAACTAGTCAGAGTCACCACGCCCCGCAGAATTCAGTATTAACTTGATGGTCATAGGATCCGGACCGAGAGTCAATTGTATGGGTAAGGAGCATTGCAGCGATAATATACGGTGTCAACAACACCCCGGTGCCGAACGATCCTATCATTCTTCAGATGTATCTGCAATCACAGCTCCAGCAGAACACCCCGGTTAGATTGATGGTTCACCAATCAGTCAGCCGAACAGTTCATTCTATGGATTGAACTCGGATTTGATTAAATGTGGAGGTCTCTCTACACTGTTTCGCAACTGTTCAGAAAGCAACATTAAGAAAGATGCTGCTAACAGAATTGTGAAGGTAACCACACCGGAGGTAACAGAACAAATCTGAATCGCGGTCTTAATGAACACAATTGGAACCGGCAGCAGTTATAGGGAGATTAATATGCGATTCCAGCATGACCAAGAATAGAAAATATGAAGGAACAACAAGGTAGTCATCAGACGACTGCAACCAGTATCGAGTCAGACGAATTTAGTAGGTACCTAACCACGACTGCTGACACTGGGAAGCTACTGTATGTCTATTGCCGCTACTACTACCGCCAGTGGGCATTTTAGGTCGAGTCATTCCTATTTTTCTGATTGTAGCATTGCCCGAGTAGCATGATGATATTGCAGACAAGATTCATCTTCCACTTGCCGGTGGGGTACTTGGCTTCGGGAAACGTCTGCCAGAATGACGCACGGTAGAGAACTTTCTTCTCCTGAATGGACAGCCTCTGCCATCAGTCGCACTTCTCCTTCCTTGAATGGATGACCGGCCACCAGCTCGTTGAATATTATCTTGGGATTAGGATTTACGACTTTTTGCGTCCTTGAATTGAAAATGTAAACACACAATCTCAAAAGTCATAAGTACAAGGTTGCCAAACTCATGGGTTACTGAGACTGATAGCTTGATTGCCACACTTTGGCACGTTCGGCACAACGCTTGACCTAGCTTTCGGCATAGATAAAGTACTCGGCACAGATTGGGATGTGCAGAGTTGAACACCCCTTGGTTCAATCATTGTTATTCAGTCCAAATTTAAAAAAAAAGTTTGTAACTTTAGGTGAAATTTTAATACACAAAATCTAAAAATTAAATTTAGAAACATAAACGAAGGAAGTTTTATTCGATACCTTTCAAATTACCGAAGGAGAACGAAAATTGTACGTAAATTGAAAGCGATACTATAACGGCGCCGGTGGTGTAGTGGTAAGCGTGGTTACCTCTCACCCCAGCAGGCCTGGGTTCAATACCAGTCGGCGCCGCCGGGATGTTCTGAGGCATAACATCTCTGATCACGCCTTCCTTCGGATGGGAAGTAAAGCCGTTGGTCCCCGGTTCATGAGTTGATGGATCGATAGGTAGGGTCCAGGTGTGGGAGCTGCCTTCCTGGCACGTCGGTAGCATTGGTGCTCAGCACGGAAAACAAGATCGACGGAAAAAACAAACCAAAGGACAGCGATACTATCAAAATATATTTGCATGTTTTTTTAGGGTGACCCAAAACTTATGATCGGGAGTGTATGTTGTTGTGTTATAGGTTTTTTTCAATTTTGTTTTGGCTTCTATTTTCCATGAAATAAGCTGCTTTTGTAGTATGAATGTATATATATTCTAATTTTAATGATAAGCCAATTAAGTCTTGAATTCTGTGCCTGTTTTCCATGTCGATAGACATTCTTCAGTATTGATTGTATGATAACCTTTACTTGTTTGGCTTTCCAATTAAATTATCTCTCAATGTTAAAACTTCGCAGCTCCTCCGTGTTTTTGATGCGGATTAGACATAGCAGGTCTTTGTTCGTACTACGTGTATCGACCGAGTTTGCTCGTTCTATCTAGTTCTTGAACTCCGGTTACATTACGCAGTACTCGGTGTTAGTTGTCACAAGCAATACCTTCACCACACCACACGAAGCTCGACCATCACGGCCAGCGTAAATATTGTCTTGTTTATAGATACATAAACACGCTTTTTAATTAGGGCTACATCTTGATCAATAGAATAAAGTCGTCGTACGTAGCTCGCTTGGAGGTTTTCGTTAGGAAGATCTTATTTTTACTTTCTACATAACAAAAACTTCTTACCATAATTATGTTTGTTTTTCACCAACAAATGCTACCAAAGACCGGTTCAAATGTGGATACATTCTTTGAAAAATCATTGCTCTGATTCTGAACAGGTCTAATAGTTTAGTTGGTGTTAACTGGATTCAATATTGAGGATAATTAGAAACTGCATATCATCCATAAAAGCAGACTTGTGAGCGACCGCATGCGAATGCAATTATAATTTAGATCCGGACACTGCAGAACCGTTCCCATGTGCAGAATATGGCCATACTTGTGCTACGTTTTCGCATGCAAACTCAAAACTTAAAACTGGAAATTGATTACTGAAAATATATACCATGTTATTTGAAAACAACCATTAATTCACTGCTCAGTATGCATGGTGTTTGTATACTGGATGAAAAAATAAATACCCATCATGAACTTTTCCGATAGGCAAACAGTATAAAGCTATCTGTTCGCGTTATTCCGCAGGGTCGTTGTCGTCAGAAGTGTAACACAGTGACCACGGGGAACCTTGTGTGGTAATTGGTTGCCTCAGCAGATGTTGAGCAGAGCAGTGTTGTTGGAGAGCAAATATAAACATTGTCTAATTAACAGCTTTATTTGTTTTTCGACTACACTCCCAGACCCACCGACTGAATGGATGGAGAAACGCGTGTTTCATACTTTCCGCTTTACGTTGAAATATGAGGATGCTCTCTCTGGTCTGCTTTCGCAAGGGGGTGGCAGGAAGGGAGCTGAAAGGTTCTGAAGCGGTCGGTGTGAGTAGTTTTTCTTTTAATTCTAGATAGAGCTGGAATTAGGGCGTAACAGCTTTTGTGAACAATGACTTCTCTCGATGATTTCTAGAAAGCCAAGGCTCGCTCACTCAAATCAACGTCGCTATCGGGTAAGTTAAGTTAAGCTTTTTTTTATTAGGGAGGTTTTCAGCCTGATGCTGGTTCGCCTCCGACGCTAGCGGGTAGGGGAAGTCTTCCACTTTGCGTAGGTTATGTAGGTTTGCGTGGTCTTGAGTTTCGAGAAATCATCGAGAGAAGTCATTGTTTACAAAAGCTGTTACGCCCTAGTTAAAGCTCTATCAAGAATTTTTTTTCCATTTACAAGTTCTTGGCCGATGGAATGTAAATAAAAGACAGATAACCAGAGTGGAAACTCGAGTGTCTTCGTAAGTTATGGTTTGATCTTGACCTAATGCATACTCAGCAATATCATACAAGAAGAGCGACATGGTCAGTGCCACAGAACTTCCGATTATAACAGTTGCAGGTGGGACTCCATTCGATGAATCAGCGATGACATTTTCATTTAATTCAATCTTCTTATTTGAATCCTCTGCATGAACTCATTTGCGCCCGATGATCTATTTATAGATCAGTTACGTTTTTAAATGCTGTCAAGAAACTAGAGCTCAAAAGTGATACTTGTCTTCGCTAATGGTGTTCACTTGGATAATACGAGATAGACTAAGAAGCGTGATACCGGTCGGTCCTCACAAGTTCCTACCTCACACCTCCCTGAGCTATATGATATCCAACGACTTTGAGCTGAAACACTAGCAAAACCAATCCATTCCCTTCCCATATTCGTGACTGGGAGCCGTGAACTAAGGTTCACGGTGTCCATTTCATACTGAATCGACGTGGACCGTGAACTAAGGTTCACGGCTCCCGGTCACGGATATGGGAACGATTTTTTTTTGTGAGATCATGGACATAGCTTGGTGCCGTAGAGCAATGGTCAATGTTGTCAATCGAACCAAAAAAAAGTGAGAAGTTGCGGTTATCCAGTAGTTTGACGATGCCGTTGAGTCTAGTTTGATGATGATCGGTCCGGACAAGCTGTGCTATTCCTTTCGTTTCGTGCCGATAGCTATTACGACCAGCGACACCCAGATGAACCTAGTAGTGTGTTTCCTGGTGATGTTCCAGTTACCTACATATAAAGCTTGGTCATATAAAAGTAATGCTCGTAGTTATCCGAGTATTATAAAACATATTCATTACACCTTTTATACCGTTTACAATGGAGCGCACGCTTAAGACAAATTGAATATTCTTTATCGATAAGCCTTTTATTAACTAAAACTGTGCGGAGTATAAATGACTACCTCGCCTGCATACACCATCTACTGGCACACCTCCATCGAACTGCTGCCAACATTATATCGGATCTGTCGTTGTGGCGTTGGTCGTCTC